TAAGTTCAAATTCTGTTGCAGATGTGAGGACCTTGTTGGTGGACTATTTGTATATACCTTTATAAGTACTCTCTGAGCCTGAAAATATGTCCTAATCTTAACGAGCTCCTGAAACCCAACTTAGCTAAATTTTTTACAACTAGAAAAACGGAATGCATGCCATGCAAGTACTACGTGCACTGCTTTTTGGGTGATTAATAAAATTGATTTTTGTTGCCAAAAAAAGAACAAATTACACTCAGGTCCCATAGAAGACAATTAATTTTAAAAAAGTCTCTAAAAATCTCGAAATGATTCTGAAGTCCCAGGGACCTGTGTGTAATTAATTGTAATTGTGAAATTACTTATTTACCCCATTAATTTTGTTACAGCAACTCATTTACAATCTCAACAGTAGCTGTTGACAACCCGAGAAGAAGTGGTTGACAACCTCTGCAGTGCTCCTGACAACTCATCTTGTGGGATGCCAGGGGCATTGCCGAGATTGTTAACCACCTCTTCTCAGGTTGTCAACAGCCACTGTTGAGGTTGTAAATGAATTACTTTATGTTCAAATTAATGGGGATAAATAGGTAATTTTACAATTAAAATTAATTACACACAGGTTTTCGGGGGCTTAGGAATTATTTCGGGATTTTTAGAGATTTTTTTGAAATTAATTGTCTTCTGTGAAATCTGAGTGTAATTTTCCCCAAAAAAAAGGGAGAATTACAATGAGATCCCACATAATTAAAAAACAAGTCCTAGAGGTTGTCATTCTCACTGTAGGACTTGTTATTATCACTGTAGGACTTGTTATTACAGGCGTCTCAGGTTGTTACTTGGGACTTTGTAGTGATTATTTCTCTTATGTGGGACTTGAATGTAATTCTCCCAAAAAAAAACCGCCTTCTCATACAAATCAAATTTCAATCAAAGATTGGCTTCTTTCTTCGGTAAACACAAAAGTGGATTATTTGCAATTACAAAAATATTTGTGCATAATAAATTTTAAAAATTAATATAAATCATCACACATAATTATAATATTTTGAAGACGTACGATCTCCGATCTGGGCTCCTTGTCCCGTCGACGAGGGCATGTCCAGTCTCTCTACTCTCTTAGTCTTCCCTCTCACCATCGGCGGCGGCTCCTCCCCCCCTCTCCCTTTGCCTTTCAGTCTCATTTCTCATTTCTCAAGAGTCTCAATGTCTCGAAGGCCGAAAGGAGCAGCACTGTTTGTCACTCCATCCCCCCCCCACGCTCTTGTAAGCTTCGAGTCTTCCATTTCATTTCTACTCTGTAATTATAGGAAGATAACTGTAAGGTTCGAAATTCGAATTTTCCATTCCATGATATGTCCCCAACTCATCATTATGAGCCATCACGTCATCAATGACTACCACCTCACCAACTCATCTTTCTCCCATGTTGCTATGTCATCTCTTCGTTCACGTTATCACCATGTGTCTATCATTGTGATCCATTATGTCATCATTGGATGCCACCTCAACTCCTCCTCTCTCCCATACAGCCATGTCATCATAGTGTCCACGTCATCGCTACATGTCTATCATTATGAGCTGCCATGTTATTACCTTATCCACATTATCGTCACGTCACAAACGCAGCCAATTTGTGAAGAAGTTGGTTCGAACTTGAAACCTCCTGTGCTTGTGCTGAAGCCTTTACTAGTTGAGCTGAGAAGCATTTGCAAAATTCTTATACAAAAATAAATATATATAATATTTCTAATAACAAATACAAATATATATAATAATTATTATATACATAATTTAATATATATTATATAATTTAATATATTATTATTTATTTGAATTTAATTTTTATATTTTAGTAAAAAATTTCTAATAATTTATATTTTTATGCAAATATTTAACAAAATAATAAGTATATTATATATTTTTATTTTTATTTTCTAATACAATTTCGTATTTGTTAATTTTTGTATAATATATTATTTAAAAATTATGATATATTATATTTTTATTTTAATAATAAGTTTAAAAAATAATTATTATATATGTATCTTATATTTTTTATGACGGATTAGTGACGAAATTGCGATGAAAATTAGTAACATGAGAGTTAGTGATGGAAATTAGTGATGGAATTTTTTCATCACTAATCATTTAAACCAGAATTAGCGACGGGCTTGGAATAGAATTTAGTGGCAAAATAAAATTCCGTGACTAATCCATCTCTAATTTAGTGACCGAATAAAATTCTGTTACTAATCCTTCACTAACTTAGCGACAAAATAAAATTTTGTTACTAATCCTTCACTAATTTAGCAACAAAAATTTTCTGTCACTGAATTATGTTGCTAATTTTAGTGACAAAATTTGTGAGAGATTAGCAATAGATTAACAACGGAATAAATTTGATGCAGTAAATTTGAATTTCCTTACATTAAATTCAATTTGCTCAAGAAAATTTAAATTTTCTTGCATCAAATTCAAATTTGCTCAAGCATATTTGAATTTCCTATAAAATTGCAGCAAATTTTGCAATAAAATGTCTATCAAATTCAAATTTGCTCTACTAAATTCAGGTTTGCTCATCTCCTTGATCTTTAACTTATTCAATATTCTAACGGATTAAAACCTCAATAATATATTGAATAACTCAAATAAACTATTTAACTTAAATTTAATCAGTAAAAACATTCTATGTGTCTTTGAATAATAAATCTTTTAACTAAAATCTTAATTTACAATTCTCAAAACAATTATTGAACAAATATAATGTATCTTTGAATTTCTATAGTCATATATTATCAAAATTCTATATTTACTCCATACCCAAACAGTACAATTTTCTCTAAACATTATAATAATACCAATAATATAAAGCTCTAAATATATAGAAAATACTTATAAAGAAAATTTGATAAAAAGAAATATATTTGTGTACCTAAATGATTCCTAAATCTTGTCCTAATCTTCAGATCACGCTTTGCAACTCAACTTCTTGCTCTCTTTTCCTTTTTGCCTTTCGCTATCTCTTTCTCTTCTTTTCGTATCATCCTCATCCTCTTATATTTGACTGCTTCATTCCTTATCCAACTGTCCTTTCTCTTTTTTTCTTCTTCATTAATTACCCTTTCTCCATTTTCTTCTCTCATTTACTATCCTTCCCCAAAAATCTTTCCTTAAGTCAATTGCTCCAACTTTCCACCGAATTTGGTGGAAAGCTATTTCTTTTTTTATTTTATAATTTAATAATAAAAAAATAGTATTACTTATATATATTTTTAATAAAAGAATTTGTTTTTTTCCTTTTTTTTAAAAGTATGTTGCATATTCCTTGCTTTCAATAACATATAATCAATTTCTCTAAACATTAGTCTTTAGGACTATAACAAAAATCTTTCAAATAAAGTTCTTTTGTGTTATTTAATGTTTAAACCATTAGCTTTCATAGCCTTTGAACTTTGATATTTGTTACTATTAGATTATCAAAGTGTCATAAATTTTTTTTGTCATGCCGTTTAAAGGCTCCCATACTGTTTTTTTACAAAAGAATCATTACAAAACTAATATGACTTCTGGTCATCTAATTACAGGATCAAAAGTATTATAGCTTATAGGTATTGAATAAAATGGAATCAAAATAATATTGTAACTAAATAAATTAATTACATTCAAATTTATAACTAAATATAAATAACAAATAAATTCACATATAAATCAAAGTGCATAATCATATACAATGTCATGATAGATGTATGACAACATAAGATAAACTAGATATATATAAACAAACAACATAATAATGCTAATCATGTGCTATGAAAATTAGAAAAGTACAAAGATTAAGATGATAGAAATGGAGAAAATAAGAGGAGATTTGAGGAGAAAATAAGAAATTCTCATTCACTTCATTATCTCAAATTTGTGTACATTATCTCCTATTTATAGGACCCCCAACATTGAAGACTAACGTAGAAAGTTACAAATACATAAAGAAGAGAATTAAGTAACATAATTATACAATTGGAGGTTATAAGGAATAGATATTAAGAACTCTTCAATTTGGGAGTTATAAAGTACTCCTCCAGTTCTTAATATACGATTCAATTTTTGAGTTGGTTTTGATCCTAAATATAAGACTCATTTTTCATATTTATCAATTTCCTCTAAATTACCCCTATAGATACTCCCTCAACCATAATTAAGTAGATGAGGGAGAGGTGGTATTAAGAAAGATGATTATGGTGTTGTAGGAAAATATGTCACTTTTCTTATAATTAACTAAATTATCTAACTTTCTTAATCTAATTAAATTAGTTAAATGAGTCTTATATTAAAGATCGAAGGAGTATAGTATTTTAGCCATGAGATGGAATCCTAGGAGGCTATGGAGTTATGATGGTCCACACAGCATAATATTTATAACAAAATGGACTTTTTCCAATTAAAAATTAAATAGTTAGGACATTTTTTGGGGACAAATTGAAACATCTTTCAAAAATCAAGTTTTGTAATGTTTTGATAAAAAAGTTATATAATGTTAAAATTAAAAAATTAAAAAATTAAAATAACCGAGGCATCATTTTTTTGTTGACTACAAATTTTAATTCCTCTTTTGGGGGTTTGGAATCTCCTCTCTTCGTTTTTCATATTCTTCCTTCCGGTTCTTTTTTTAACTATTAGATTAATATTTTAATAGTTCAAATTTAAATCTTTTTAAAATTATTATTAAAATATTAAATTATAAAAATAAATAAATTATAAAATTTATTAAATTTATTAAATTTTGATTTTAATAATTTGTAAATATACTAAATATTTTTTAAATTTTTAATAAATAGTTTATAAAAATTAAAATCTTAATTGTTGAAATATTTTAACCCAATAATTTAAAAAAAAGGAAGAGAAAGGAAGAAGGTGAGAAGGGAAAAGAAGAGGTCCTCACCGGCCTCTTTGGTCTTCCCGGCACCTGTAAAGCTGTAATCATCAATCATCAGTACAAATCGAATTTTCACGAGTCAAGATTTGACTCTTCAAAGCCATGGCGCGCAAAGCAACGGCGAAACTTGACTCACCGTAATCTCCGGCGGCTTTGGCCATATCCGTCAACATCGAACCAAAACCTTCTTACTTCTCTACTTCCCATTCTCTTCTCCACCTTCATCTCCAATTCTCTCCGGTAAATGACGTCAGAACATCTGGCTTCCTCGGTGGTTTCTGCCGTACAATCGATCCAACGTTCATTGACTGATCTCTGTGATCACGAACACCATTACTCGTTTGATAATCCCCGACAGTTCTCGGGGTTGGCCCGGCGACTTCAGCTTGTCGTCAACCAGGTACTCCTGTCGTTTCAATCACTGTCGCCGGGGAGCTTCCCGTCGTCGGTGCAGACCACCCTTAAAGGAATGTCCAGTGATCTGTCCAAGGCTGCAGAAGTTGTTTCCGTTTATGAGAAAAGAAGCAAGATATTCGTCTTGATCAACTGCAAGTCGCTGTGCTTATCTCTTCAGGAGCACACTTTCTCCATAGGAGGCTGGCTCGCCTTGCTCGATCAGGCTCTTCAAGACGACCCTGACCTCCAAAAGAAAGCTTCGGATCTTTCCAGAGACATGAAGCTCGTTCAGTTCAGGGTAACTCGCCCTTTCTCTTTACTTTGATGCATTTATGTCTGAGGAAATGTAATTTTCGTCTGTTCTCAATTTCTTTGTCCTGAATGTACCTGAAAATAGGTTACAGAGACCGAAGAGAGAGTTCAATGTACGCTGGAAAAAGAAGGGGTTGGAAGACCAACAACCAAGGCGGTGCAGAGTGCTATTGTCATGGATTTGGCTCGCGCCTTGGGAATTGACCCTGACGATCATGCAGAGTTGTCTAACGAAATAAAGCTGTTCAAGAATGACCTATTGAGCTCAAATTCTTTATCAGAGCGGCGGATTTTAGTTTCCCTTGAAAGGATTTTGAATAACTGGTCTATTGAACCTGCAATTGAGACTCGAAAATTGGACTTCGACCTTGAAGACGATGCAGCGATTCCCCCCTTCAAAAATTTTCTGTGCCCATTGACCAAGGAAGTGATGAAGAATCCCGTAGTTCTGGAAACTTCCCAGACCTATGAACGGACTGCTATAGAGTACTGGTTCGACAGGTGTATTCAAGATGCACGTGACCCAACTTGTCCTGTAACTGGGAAGGTTCTCAAATCCTTGGAACTGAAACCCAATATTGGATTGGCAGGGGCAATAGATGAGTGGGTTAACAGGGTTATAGAGTATCGAGTCAAATCTGCTGCTGACCATTTGAATGAGGAGCCACTTTGTATAGATCACGTTGAGAGATCTTTGGATAATATTTATGAGGTTTCAGAAGAACATCCTGCTAGCAGATACGTAATCAGGAATGCTGGAATTGTACAACTGATAGGGAAGCTTCTTACTGATAGCTCAAAAGTTATTGGATCACGGCTGAGAAGCAAAGCTTTGACGGCTTTAGTTAGTATGGCTAAAGATGAAGAAAGCAAGGTCAGTGTCTTTCATTGTTTACCATTTTCTCAGTCAGTGATTGAAAAAGACTTTTTCCTCTCCCAAGCCTTCAAAGGATGGGATAACCGGATATATATCTTGTTAAAATAACATTAATTCCCTTTTTCACGTAAAAACGGGTAGCATGGTATGATAAAATATTTTAACTGGCTACCTATTAATAATAATTTCTTTTTTATGTGAGCAGTACTATGACATGAGGTCAAAACCCCGGCCGTAAATCAGAATATATAGCGTTTGCTTTATTCAGATTTCTCTGTTAGCACCCGATACTGATTCATCTGGGAGAGAATTTTCCATCTAGATTCTTGAACCCTATTTCAGAATCCTAAAGTTATTGTATGATTATGTAATTTGCTTACAGTTCTACGGCAAAGCTTCTAAACCGTATGCTGCTCCGGCAGTTACTGCCGCCTTTCTAGTACTTTGCAAGTTGAAGGCATGGGAACGCCCTTGTTTAATTAAATACTTCAATGAGTCCTATTCAATGTGTTACGGCAAAAACCACTGCAGGAAGTGAGTAAGTTACTGAGAAAAGCATAATAAGAAGCACAAACAATGGAAGATGTGATGGCGTGGCAAAATTAAGTGTCTAAGTTGTTGATAAGTTTTGACTCATCACTCATGACTGAAGTCGTTCATTTACTTTGACTCTGCTTTTTTATTAGCAAATATTGGCAGAAAGCTCTTCAAAGTAGTTTCCTGGTAAAATGTCAGTTTTCTTTTTGAAAGTTTCTATTGGAACAAAAATATGATTTTGCTTGTCGCACAATTCTTTAGATGCTGTTATCAGTGACAGAGAGAAGCTATTTTGAAAACTAGGAGAAGCAATTAATGACAAACTATCTATTTTACTGTATATAAAATTTTGCTGCAAACTCCACAGTTTCGTTGGCAATAGTTTTTTAACAAGTATGTCACAGTTTCTGATGCAAAGTTTTATGTATCTCTAGAAAATAATGCTCGAAGGGAGTATCACAAGATTGGCTGTACACAGTCTTACTGGTAGCTCAGAGAAAGAGAGGGAGTATGCTGTGAAGTTATTACTGGAGTTCTCCAGCGATGAAGCTTATTGCATAGGAGTTGCATCAGAGAAAGGTGCATTGGTTCTCCTCACAAGTATGGCAGGAAATCTAGAGTTTCCTGCTTTGTCCAAGTTAGCCGAGGAAGTCTTAAAGCAGTTGGAGAGGGTGGAGGATAATGTGCAACGTTTAGCAGCATCTGGAAGATTTGAACCTTTACTTTCACGGTTGCATGATGGTATGTTTTCTAGTATTATCTTTTTATTCCAGCCGCAAAAATATAAAATCATGATGGAGTGGATGCTAATGATTATTAATCAGCTTTTCTTTAAGACATCTGCTTTTGCAGAAAGCGATAAAATATTAAAACAAACTGAATTTGGATAAATTCTGGGGCAGGTCCTGATGCTGTAAAGATAGAGATGGCGTCTCTGCTTGGAAGGATGACCTTGACAAACAGTAATAAAGAGCAAATTGCCAGGCAAAGTGCTGGAGTACTTGTTGACTTGTTGTCGAAGCCAGAAGGAAGAGAACCAAGTCTGCAAGCATTATATAACTTGTCAGGGTTGGATGACAATGCAACCATCCTTGTCAAGTCTCCAGTCTTTCCGTCTCTTATTGATGTTCTATTTGATGGCCAGGAGCCTTCAAATGAAATTAAAACACTAGCTGCTTCAACAATTGCAAATATAGTATCAAAGCCAGGGCGTTGGGAATTAGCATCTGCTGACATGAAGGGGAGTTCAATGCAGTCAGAAAGTGTAGTTTTCAAGCTTCTGCAACTTTTAAACTCGGTGTCATCTCAATGTCAAGTATATGTTCTTCGCATTCTCTATGGAATAACATCTTCCCCGCAGGCATCAGGTAATTTCTAGTCAACCAGCTTATAATACATTAATAGCATAATAATATTGCAGTATTTTATCATGTGTTCGTTCATTGTCTCTCTTACTCCATGTCATGAAATGTTCGATCAATTTGTTTCTTGTCGAACTTTGATAGTATTGGGTTTCCATTAGTCTATTAATAAGTACATGTATAAAGACATTCAGAGGATGCTGCTGTGACCTGATAAACTAATGAAGTGAGAATGCTTGCGTTATATAGCTGTGTGCATTTTATGCATGTATCTCCTTCTAAATTGGCCCGCATTATGCTGCATGATGCTATATATTTATTTATTTATTTATATAATTGTTTATTTTTACAGAGTCAGTTGCTTTGCATATAAAATCTGGGGATGGCTTTAAAACGATCACACAATTTCTTGAAAACCCAGAATTCGAACTCAGAATGTATGCTTTGAAGCTTTTGAGACTATTATCTGAACTGTTCAGTCAAGATCTAGGAAATGAGCTGAGACTTTCCAACAAGCTCACCATGCTCAAAGAAAAAATATTAGATGATCAATCTGCAGAGGAGGAGAGAGCAACTGCAGCATGTATACTCGCCAACCTTTCCTTAACAGAGAATGATATTAAATCGCTTTTGGGAGGTGATTTCATTAGATGGATCGTCTCCACTCTCAAGAACCAGAGGCATAGCTCCAATGCAAGGATTTCGCAGACTGCATTAAGCTTGCTGGAAGGTCTTCTTGGCCTCTTGCTTCACTTCACTACGAACCTTGATGAGCAAAGTCTAACCATTATCAGAGAAAATCGTCTCATGACCATTTTCTGTGAACAATTGGAGTATACTTCCAAACTAAAGGTAAAAAGACTTGCTGCTCTTGGATTAAAAAGCTTGTCAGAAATTGGAAGGACAGTTACTTCTAGGGACGCTGAACCGTCACGTTCCAATGGTTTCTGCTATTCCCTCCTGTTCATGTGTGGGAGGACCTCTTATCAGAACCTTTCATGTCCAATTCACAACAGTTACTGTGAGGAAGATAGTCAATTGTGCCTGCTAAGGAGCAACTGTATAAAGCCTCTAAATGATCTCCTCAATGATAACAATGACACTAGTGTTCAAATTGCTGCACTGGAGGCACTTTCAACACTAGTTTTGGATTATTCTTCAAATACTTTCAAGAGAGCAGCTGATGAGCTTGCGCAATTGGGTGTGGTTGATTCTGTGATCAATCTTTTCACAGAGGCTAGATCTGGCGAGCTTCAAGAGAAGACCGTTTGGATCATAGAGAAAATATTGAGAGTGGAAAATCACATACCTAAGTACTCACTTAATCAGTCTCTTGTGAGGGGCTTGGTTGAAGCCTTTAAGCATGGGAATCCTAACACCAAGGTGCTTGCTCAACATGCTTTAACCTGCCTAAAGCAAATATCAGTTCTAAGTGAGAAGACATCAAGTCAACCTCAAGCTAGGAGGTAGCTAAACATGTAATTTTTTGTCCCCATCATTCCTCTTATTTTATTCTTTGGGATATTATCCCTGTAGTTCTTTTTGTTATAAATCAAACAGTCTCACTATAATCTGACAGATACATGTAAAAAAAAACAATGTTTATGACACTTGGATTCTTTACGTCTCCCATTGACATGTAATTGTGTAAATAATTTCAAGGATATTTTTTGTGTTAGACTTCATTAAAGCTATTTAAATGTTAGGTTATCAGCTGTTTTAAATATAAACATTGCACATTGAGGAAATTTTTTAGAAATTCAATTATATTAAGCTATAAATTGTTTTATTTTACTTTTTTTATGAGCACAGGTATGGAGTAGTCCTTTTGGTAGATTCAACCACTCTTGGTTATTACATAGCAGTTAATGAATGGTAACGAATATTTTGAGATTGGGCCATGGGCCATTGGTCCGGGCCTCACCCCATGAATTATGACTCCGTACACTCTTTCCAAGTTGGGTCAATGTTAGCTCACAGGCCCAAGGCTCATTTTGCTTATTGCCTCTCCGAAATCCCTCTCTCTTCAAGCATTTCCATCAAATGGGGCATTTTCTTACGTGTTCTATATGATTTACAAGACGAGGCAAATTAATCATAATTTATAAATAATATACTTTATTTTGACAGAAGAACTATATTTTATTGGAAATTTTATAGTTTACATTAATATCGATGAGAAAAACATATATCTATGGTAGAGGCTATTTGGATAGTATGCAATGGAATCAAATGAGAAAAAAAAATATTTTTTTATATGGAAGGTATTTTTCAAAAAAGGATTTTTAAGGATCAAAATTATCATTGTTTTGCCATTCGGAATTTTCACTTGATGGTAAGAGTAACTCTATTACTAGTCAAGTCACTAGTTCAAACACAGTCTTCTGTAGAACTAATAAAATTAGTACAAATTTATTCTAAAAGTTTAAAATCATATTAATGTTGATTCTTGTCAGTAAAAACATTAATAGTTATCGTCATTATTTTAATGGTTAATATTAGTTTTTTAACAGTAGATGGTGATATTGTTATGGTTTAAAACTTTCAGAACAAACTTGTATTAAAAGAAAAAAAAACTAAGTGCTCAGTGCTTCTGATTAATTTACAATTTACACCTTAACTCTTTTTTTTTTTTTAAACCTCTCCCACACAACCTTCTCAATGTTTTAATGGAAGGATTTAAAATTTTAATCTCTATTACATCCCACCTTGTTACCTTTGTCACTTGAGAAAGTAACACAAATCTTTTTTAATCAAAATAATGGATATATATCTAGAAAAAGATAGAGTGGGAAAAGGAGAATGAAGAGAGCTAATCTCACACACTATCAAATCTGTGTCACTTACATTTCACATACATGAATATATAGAATTCAATTTACTTTAGAAAAGATTGGTTAAAACTTTGCACAAGTAATGACTTCTAAAATTCTGGTAGAAAAAGGAAAAAAAAAAATCTTTTAGTCTCTATAATTTTGACTTAGTTATAATTTACTCTTTACAGTTTGACTTTATGCATTTTAGTCCCTAAACTTTAAAGCTCTAATCTCTAAAATTCATGAGGCACACACTTTAAAATATAAATATTAATATTTTAAATGGTTAAATTATAGAAATTGAGTTGCAAGGAATCAAAGTTCAGGGATAGTATTACAACCAAATCAAGATCATAAAGACAAAAATATTACTTTTTCTCACAAAATTTTTAAAAAATTTCATGCCAAGTAGAATAACTTAGAAACATTAATAATAACTTTGAGCTTTAGCCAAAAAAGAAAAAAATTAATTCTGAAGTTCCTTTGAATAAATTATTGTTCTATATAGATCTTTTCAAGTCCAAAAGTAGTAAAAAAAAATTTCGTGGGGTTGAAGGAACTAAGCGATTTTAGCGAGTGAGAAAAGCAAAGGGAACATCCATGTCCCACTAAGTAAAAGGGTGATGGAAAGGAAAAGAGGCATTAGTTGAAGCTTTTGTTTGGTGCTCCTTAGTTATTCTCAACCTTTCTTTGTGGAAAGTTGCATCCGCATTCACCAAAGCCATGTCCGGGCAGGCACAGAATATAGGTTTCAAAAGATCAGATAAACATGAACTTGCAAGTGAATTACATCCCATAATTCTATTCTGATGCTGAGTAATTTGTATTGTTCTCTAAAATATTACTTTCAATCCTTAATATAAGGTTAGTCGATGAGTTAAATTTGATTCTAAATATAACCTCACGTTATCTCCTCTTTTTTTTCTTTTTCAAAATATTTCTATTAATTACAAAGGGCTCTCACTAAGAAACAATTTTATTCATCCAATGCATATGATTGAAGAGGATAATTTAAGAAAACCAACACACATTTGTGATATCTTTAAATTAGTTATTTAACTCTTATGTTAAAGAACGGATATAGTATACAACTTTTCACTTAAACTTTATCATTTTTAATAGTATGTTTTTATTTTTTGTTAAACGAATTGGTTCTGAGAGACCATATTAAACCTCGAATAATTTGGGTCAAGTCAAATTAGACCGCATAGGTGTAAAACTCTCTAAAAAGGCATTTTTTTAAAATCCTAAATGCACGGCACTCAAATTTTTTTTTTGGCCAAAACACAACACTCAAATTTGAGTTAAGCTTTTTGTTAGTAAAAAAAAAAAACATTTCTAGACCACGATATGTGCATGGGTGTGTGTATTTACTGATATGTATTTATATATGTAAGGATAAAAAAGTTTAAGTTAAACTCTTTTACCCTGCTTATTATTACACACTTATAAATGAATATTTGTAGGCATGTAATTAATTGGTGATAAGCAAAAAGGTTAATATAATTTTTGGCCTCTAAAATTTAGGTCTATTTCACTTTTCATCTCTCAAATTTCAAACATATATGGTTTTAGTTCCTAAAATTCAGTCTGTCTTAATACATTAGTCTTTGAAAATATAATGGTGTTAAAATTTGTTAAAGTGTTATAAACGACATTAAAAATGGGATGTGGACTCACTAAATAGCACGTAACTAAGTCTTACGTAGATAGCAAACAAAGGGGGAAAAATAGGTCCTTAAAATGCAACTGTTTAACCTCCTTTTTTTCCTCATTATTTGTTTGAGGAATTGTTCATTGTGTTGCACTTTGAGAATCCATTCCTTTTTGTTCTTTGCATTGCGTTTTGAAGACCTATTCTTTTTTTTGTTGTTTATACAAGATCTAACTAAATGACATTTGATGAGTTCATATTATCACTTTAACTCTATTTACATTAGCACATTTTTATACCATTACACCTCTAAGGACTAATACCAGTTTAAAATTTGAGAGACCGAAACAAAAATGGATCAAAGTTTCAGCCACAATAAATTATAATTAAAAATGAAGATGATTTTTTTAGGTAATGTCTACTAAAGATTCCTTTGATATGAGGAAAATGGAGGATACAGGAGGGGATGAAAAATTTTAATGAGCTCGATTCAAAAAATTGAAAAAACGGGATTAAAAGCTTTTAATTAATTTTTATTACCTTGGTATATTATCTCTTCTCTTTATTAAAATTTTTCAGTCTCACTTCTCTACTTAAAAACTCATTAAAAAATTTTCTCACCTCCCCTCCTTCTTCTCCATTTCCCTCATACCAAACAGCACCCAAGTTCTTGATATTATTATTCAGTACTTTTTATAATTTTTTCATAGATAAAAATATGAGGAAAATGACAACAAAAAAAAGAAGCCTAAAATTGTGAAATCCTAATTCGCGAAGGTAAGGATTAAAAATGACAAGGAGGAAAGTAAACCCAAATTGAAATTTTAAAATTCAAGTAAAATCACAAAAAATGCCATTTTTTATTTTAAAAACATCAACCCCTCACTGGAAGCCATTGCCGGTGACCCGTGCTAGTGGCAGGCCGCTACCGCCATGTAGGCCATAGGTAGGGGTTTTTTTTTCCTGGTAGTATCATTTTTTTTTTTTTGCTATGAGAAATTATTTAAGGAAAGTGATGGGGTTGGGATTTGATCCCACCACCCATAGTCATTTTGACCAACCAAAAAGATAGGTGACCATTGAGTCATTAATAATTTCTTAACATTAAAAAAAATGGGGTTAAAAAACAAAAAAGTGCAAGGACTGTTATTCTTGCTTGCTTTACTTTACAAAATATCACCTGTAGCAAAACAGATTTATCATTATATAATGCTTTGCTCCAAGTGGTTAAAATACTCCGCCCACGTTGGTCTCCCTCTTCATTCTCATAGATCAACTATAGCACCCAAGTCAAAGTTGCTTTTCCAAAAAGATCAAGTTTTGTATACTCTGGACCACTTGGTCAATGAACTATATATATAATGATTGATTTCTTGACTTTATCATTAAATATGTTAAGTTTACATGTCTGTATATACACATATATAGCCAATCCTCCAGTTTAGAAAACAGAGTTTCCATACATATTACAATCAAATTCATGTAGGGACAATACAATGGAAAATAAAAGTTTACAGAAACCATTGAAATTTCGACTTCCTACTACATCATAATCATAATTCATTCTAAGCCAAAAAGAAATAACAAGCCAAGTTTGTTGCAACATCAACACTTTACACAACAGAAATATATTTATAGCAACCATAGCATAAACTATCCATTCCAATTTCTTCAGCTTCCTTTGACACTGAACAATCTCTTCCTCCATCTTCTTCAACTCATCTAGCATTAGATTTTCAACCAATTCATCAAGCTAATCAAAGTAATTGCATGCCCATAACTCCTAAATGTGAAACATATGAATAGAACCCATTAAATTTGTGAGAGAAATTCCAAAGGCCAGCAACTCAGTCAAATTTAAAAATAAACATATCACTCGCTAACCTTGAAATTTAGGCATTTAAGAAATCTTCTACCGTAATCTTGCTTTGTCCATGAAATGAGCATTATAACCTCATCTCCACATCTGCATCTTTGGACACTCCTTTCACCCACTCCTCTACCCATCGTGGGTGAAGATGAGCTTCTACTAGAAGCCATTAAACTTCACTATAGCAAAAGAAGAGTTTTGATGTTCAGGTCTAGTATGTGACTACTACAAGATTAGATCGCACAAAAAATTACTTCCTCCAACCTCCTCTAAGCTTTGCCAAATTTCTCTGCCTTTACCGCCATTTCTCTCCCTCCAACCGCTCCTCCTCTTGCTTT